ATGCCCCAAAATCCTGTCAAAAATACTTTTTTTGTCATGGGTTAAACAAAAAACACATATCCACAATCCTTCTGGAAGAACTGCCTAATGTCCCACAATAAAAATCAGACATTAAAAACATATATAAAAATAATGTATGAAAAATATTTTTAAATCCACAACTGAAAAACCAACAAAAACCCCACATCACCAAAAAAACACAACCTCTTCCACATGCAAGTGAAATACTGGTCCAAGCAGAGATTTTTGAATCATGACCAAAAAATAATACTGAGTGCAACTTGTATTTATACGCTCACCTTTTAGCAGGTAAGCCAGATTTAGATCTACCATGGGACCCAGACCTACAACAGGAGAAAAATACAGCTCAGCAAAGCAGCCAGTGGCATGCACGTACAATGAAAGTTAGCTAAACCAGCAACAGCAAGTTCATACTACATAGCATCATAAACCAGGGAGGAAGCTCTGGTGCTGCAGGCTTTTCTTATGACATTTCAGGAGAATATTTTAAATCTTATTCCAGAGACCCCACTTACCAGAAGACTAGAGCACAAGCACAAGAAGCTCCCCAGCAAAGCTTCAGCTACCACTTTTACAAAACAGAAAACTTTGTACCAGGCTCACAGACTTTCCCCCTCTGCCTGCAAGTATCCCTTCCATAATGGAAGAATAGTTTCAAGTGTCATCTTAGAAAAGTCTTTTAATAGCACATTAAGAGCCTGGAATAAGCCACAGGTAAGCATGTATGCTGAAGAGCTGATGCATTTGTCAGATCAAGTTCCTGGTGCCACTTTTATTCAAGTATAATATAGCTTTTTCATCAGTTATCCCAATAAAAACAGCATTTCAGTTTTCAGTATCTGGCTACTAATATGTAAACGATTCCCAGTTCATCTTACAAATTAAAATCTACGCAAACAGTGAGACTTTCCTCCCACATTTATCATGTTACTTTACCAACTCAAGTATTTGCTGTTATTTAGAAAAATATTTGTCCTCCTAGAGTGTTAGAATTCAGACATGGTGTTACTAAACACTGGGCTTTCTGATGTTCAAGACAGCCAGTTGTTTAATAGACTTGGCCAAAAAAGTAAGAAACATTTATTTCATTTCTGCTCAGACTAATTTTAAAGGGTAATCAAGATTCACCTTTACCGAGCCTATTAACTTATAATGGACACTAGTGACGTAAGTTAAACAGAGTTTGTTAAAGAGTTAAACAAATAAGTTAAACACCGCTTTGAAACCTGCCTGGTAAGATGAGCCATCATCTGTCAGTTCCTAACGCTATAACCAGGAATTCTGTTACTATATCGCATCAGATGGAGTTGCTCACAACTACCCAGAGCTTATATTTGTAGCATGAGCATGACTTCCTTTGGTAAGTACAGTAAGGCAGCACACAAGAGCATCATCTTGCTACAGGAACTGCTGGCAAGTCCTCCTTCCCGGAGGCACAGCAACAAAGCAGGACTGCAGATCAAAAGCTCTAGAAGCAGCACTGGTTACGTACTGGTGTAATAACAGAGGACCAGCACTGGCCAATACAGAAAAGAGTTTTCACAGCAATTCTGTAACTCCAGTCCTGAACTACCACTTCTCACCACTGCAACTGCAGACCTATGCAAAGTCAGAATTCCTCAGAAATCTCCATTTGAGTAGCAAGTCTTTCATGCAGGAACACAACTGTCCCAGAACTAGAGTCACCAAGCAGCATCAGCAGTATCCAAACCCTTCCACAGCAGCAGCATGCAATTTGAGCCTGGCTAGTCATCTCCTGCATGAGTAGTAAGTCAGGACAGCTCTAGTAATAATAATCATCCTCCTCTTAAAGGCTCAGTGTGCAAGTAGCAGGCAGACCCCTAAAAAAATACTTGGCTTGCATCAGAAAGGGGGAAAAGACAACTTCTTCCAACTTAATCAGCTCTCACATCCATCACATTTTTATTCTATTCTTTCACCTTTCTTCCAACTAAGGCTTACCACAAAGGATAGAGGAAAATAATGCAGGAGCATTTACCTATTTTCCTCAACTTCCATTTCAGCATGAAAACATCCAGATCCACAAAACTGGGGCTACACATCAGGGAAGTCCTTCAAAACACTACCTGTGGCATTAGGACTCACGGCCCTTGTTCACTCAGCCTTCCAAACCTCTGAGTCAAGGCTTCTACCACATGTAATGTAGTTCTTAGATCAAATTACATCGCTGTACTGCTAACTCTCAGAACTGGAGCTGACAAAGCTGAAAAGCTGCAAGCAAGAGTTCAGTCAATAGTGGCAACCTTCTCATTGGTTCCTCCCTAGCATCTGGGATTTACAAAAAAGCCTGCCAAGAAAAACGTAAGCAGTATTCTCTGCAGGACGCAAGGTCATGCACACATGCATAGGCATTAACTAGTTTTCAAAACTTCTCTCTACAAACCTTAAATCATACATTTGCTTTGTTTATGGCTACATAAACTATCTATAGTAGCCACAGACCAAAACAAACTCATGTTTATTACAAGAAATTGATCAATACTTTAGTCTGTGAAAAAAGTGTAAGTGTAAATACTGCTATTCTGCACAAACTTCCAACCCGTTCCAGCCAAACTCCTCTGGGGAAGAAAAAAAAACCCACCACACACAAAAACCCCACCAAAAAAAATCCAAAACTATTATTGGTTTGAATTAAAACAAGTATCTTACCTGCTTCGAGGCCATACAACAGACCGGGACCTTGAGCGTGATCTGGACCTAGATCTAGGAAAAAAAAAGAACAGTGAAAGCTCAACTACTACTACATGATTCACACAGCTGAGATAACATTCTTTGACTTTTATGATACTGACCTCAGAATTTTGGTGGAGCTACTGGTTTTGCAGAAGTAACTTTTATTATTAGAAAGCAGCAGTACATTTGGCCAGTACTACCATCCACATAAGAAAACCCACTGCCTTCATCAACTAAGCATAATTACTCCCTGTATTCTTGAAGATGAAGTAGGAAGCCTTAACCATACATCAAGGCTGTAACTTTGATACAGTATAAAAAAAAAGCTCAGAAACAGCAGTTCCAAAATCATATGCTTAAATTTTTAGCTTCAAAAGAAGTGTTCAGATTAGCTCTCAGGGATGTAACACCATGAAAGTTCCTGCAAACACAAGGACTACAAAATATAAACATTAACTCCAACAGCTATGTCCCTTTCAACAATGTTGTGGGCTTAACAGAAAGCACATACCTTGATCTCCTTAAAGAACCAGACCGAGATCTGCGGGGTGAAAATGATCTATACCTACGAGGAGAGATTGATCTGGACCTGCGGTAGGAAGCTGACCTTGATCTACAAAACAAAGGGGAAAAAAGCCCAAAATTACTGCAAGGTACTTTTCACAAGGACTACAGAAAGGGGTGGAGTAGAGAGGAGTAAGGAAAAGAAGAAAAACACAACAGCCAGAACCCTACCTCCTACCACGACTCCGACTGCGTGACCGAGAATACCTTCTTCCTCGGGACCTCGAGCGGGATCTAGACCGGGACCTGGTTTTAGGTTAGAGAAAACAGGTATCAGGAAACAGCTGCAGCAATCGGTGCATGTGAGGCCCTGCTGAAGTCAAAACTGATTTCAGAAAACTAAAAAGAAAAAAAAACCCAAAACAAAACAACAAAAACACACCACTAGCATCTGTCAGTTGGAAAAAAATCTCTGGGCCTACTTGTCTTGAGCATTTTACTACCTAGAAAAATGTTAAAAGCTGAATTACATTGCAGAATTACATTAGAATAGAAAACACTGTAATGCGTATTTAAAATAAACCTTGCAAGTTTGCAGGTCGACCCTCTTTGGCCCAAGGTCTAGCAGATCTAGACGATCTAGAAGTATCTATAGCCGATCGCTGCATCTAGGTGTTCTCTTCAATCTAACGACGATCAAACTGACAGCCCAATGAGCCAGGGTGAGGCTTGATTGACGCAAGAAGATTTTTCTAGGTGGGAATGTGGTCAATCTGGTGTTCCTCTTTCTAAACCGGAGGGGGGCCCCAATTGAAAGCCAAATTTACTGTTACGGCGATCACCGTCTCAAATTTTCTGCCCTTAAAGAATAAGGTGAAGCTACGTGTAGATGGCTCGAGGGGATCTGGCCTCTTATGCTGATCACCTCAAGGTCTAGGAGGATCTTAAGTGTCGGATTTGCAAGGCGCCTCAGCATGAAATCTTAAGGCTCGTGACATTCTGAATCAAGGCGACTGACTCAAACGAAGAAACCTGAAAGGTTTTGACCAGGTTGATTATTAAGATATTAACATTTTATATGTATTAGCAAAAAAAAAATTGATAAACACCTGTTGACTTACAACATTAAGAGTTAAAACTGGTGTAACATTCTGTTCTTTGCTAACAAGAGCTACACAAAAGCGAACCGGCGAAGCAACCCAGCCACTCTGGCCCCACACGTACCTGCTCCTCCTTCGACGACTATAGCGGTGACAATCATAAGCATAGTGGCCTTTCTCACCACACTCATGCCTTGGGGTCCAAGGGGCCCCGTTGCAGCCGCCCTGTCGTAACGGGAGCGACGAGGCATCCCCGTTGACACTTCCACTCTAACCCTGGAGCCACATATTATCCTGCAAGACACAGCATGTATTAATCACAGGAATACTTTTCTCCCCTGTGCTTATTACACACAGAACAGATATTGATGATTGGTGTGGACTTAGGAGGTCAGAATCTGCAGCCAGAGCAGTTAAGGTTTTAGGCATGCACATACTTCCCGTCGAGGCCGAG